AAACAGAAAGATGAAGGACAGCATTGGGAGCAAGATGGTTCAGGCTAATCCCAAAATAACTGAGAAATCGATGAAGAAAAGTAGAAGCAGGAAGGCAGAGTCCAGCACGGATAAAGGAGACAAAAAGAACATTCTCACCAGGACCTGGAGTTGGGACCCGATGCTGGCCTGGAGCTTTCCAATCAGCAAACTCCTTGCCCTAGATCAGACCATCACTAACAAGCTCGCGCAACTGATCCTTAGTTGTAGTCGGAGCTGGCCAGATCTTCTTAGCAGCCCTCATGGTCATGAATTCTTGATTTTCAATCACAGAAAGCGATGCCTCCTCGTCTACAAAGGTTGCTTGGGACTTACTCGCTGATTTCTTCCTTCCCATATACTAGCGAAAGCAATAAAGCACTAAGAAACGATGATGCTCAAACGACGGCGCTCAGATGACAGCGACAATGGCGACAGCGGAGTTTTGAAGACTAGGGTTTCAAGGCAAAAGCAGGGCAGGAAAGAAAAAGAAGAAGAAATGCCTTTAAATATATTTTACAGCAATAAAAACGCAGCCCACCAGGCCCGTTTAAACACGGCATGAGAACGCAACGATCCATTTCTCACCACAACTGACATAGCTAAAATGACGGACGGCACACTTCTACACAAAGGTACAGTTCAACAGGCAGATTTTAGACTTATCCATCCAGCACCACGGCAGAGTTATCATATTGCTACAAAAAGAACTCATCAACCATGAAGCAACGAAGGGTTACCTCACAAGGAACATAAGAACCCGGTTCTTATAGAAAGAACTCGAGAATCTCATAAACAACCAGGACATCAGCAGAAAAAAGAATGACAACTCAGAAGATAATATTCTTTCCATCATAAATGGCTTCAAAAAATACAAGATTACACATCTTACAAGACCCAACGAACTCGGTAATACGACAAGCAAAGTAGCAAAAAGGAACCCGGACACAACTAGGCTCTGGAATGATTACGTGTTCCAAATTGCTACTCGGTAGAACAAACCGCACTCGGCTACAATGTTTTCTTCAAAGGACGAACGCAGTACATCTAAGGCAGAAATTAGCAGCACGGCATGGCAACATGGACCGGGGGAGGCCTGCAGGCATCTGTCTACCCAAGCCCGACGTGATGCAGGATCAGGTGTTGATCTGCACCGGACAGTCGCAGGGCAGACGAGGAGGATCAACCCAGAACAGCAGACTACTATAGAATATGCCAAGATCCTGTATCCGAGTTCTTTTTGAATAAAAAAACCCAGATATATGCTCGGGGGCTGCAACAGGAGAGGTTTTCAGTTCTTTGAACAACTCAGATTCAAGACCCTCCAACTCTTTGTTCCAAATAGCAAGAGGCTCGGGGGCTACACTCAGTGAGTGCACTTTTTCTTCAAAAAAGCGCACATCACTCAGAAGACTTCTTCAAGACAAGATTTTTCAAACAACATAAGATTCAAGACCCTCCAGCTCCTTGTTCCAAATAGCAAGAGGCTCGGGGGCTACACTCAGTGAGTGCACTTTTTTCTTTAAAAAAGCGCACGTCACCAAGAAGACTTCTTCAAGACAGACCACTTCAAGGCCTCACGATAAAAAGAACCCGGACCGAGCTATATCCGAGTTCTTTTTGATAAAGAACCCGGGTATATGCTCGGGAGCCTTTCGACAAAGAATCAGAGCAATTTCAAGACAAGACCCTCTAGCTCCTTGTTACAAATAGCAAGAGGCTCAGGGGCTATACCCAGATGGGAGTACTTTTTCTTCAAAAAAAGTACACACCACCCGAAGATCTCACGAAGCGCTACACGGTTTCGCTCAAGAAAGCACTCGGACGATGCTTGATCCTACTCGGCAAGACCTAAAGGGACAAGACGAGGCTTCTAGAGCTCAACTATGAAGTGCTCGGGGGCTTGTCGGTGCGGGACCAACGGGATACCCCGCAAGGAAGGGAGAAGATCTAGTCTAACTAGGATTCTTCTCATGTAATCTTAGTAGTAGTATTATTCTGTAATCCTACTAGGAACTCTCATTGTAAACTGACTAGGACTCTGGCCTCCTGACTATATAAAGGAGGACAGGGTTCCTAGAAACAGGAGTGGACAATCAATCCAATGCAAAGGCTAACGCTGACTGGACGTAGGGCTATTACTTGATCACGGTCGAGGGCCCGAACCAGGATAAATAGACTGTCTCTTGCGTTTACCGTCGAGTTCTGCATACGCTGAAGCCCGAACAAACTGTCCCGGGTACCCCCGTGGCAGGCTATCGGTGGTGAAACATCGATAGCCTCCAACACTCTTTCAGTCAGCAGAAACTCTCCAACACTCTTGCAGCTAGCTGAAACTCTCCGGCACTCTTTTAGCTAGCTGAAACTCTCCACCCCATTGGTGTCCATGGATCCAAATGGCCCAACAGAAATCCCTGAAGATTCTGATAGTAGTGTTACTATCAATCAGTTCTTTTGGGACTTCATAAATGATCCAATGGAGGCTTAGATTGAGGCACAAATTAGACGTCAGATTGAGGCACAAATTAGAGGTACGCCTACTCAATATAGGAGGTTTCAAAGAAGGCACAGAGAAAGAGATCGTGGTGCTACTAGAGATAGATTGATGGCTGATTACTTCATAGAGAATCTAGTATTCAATGATAACCAGTTTCGACGTAGGTATAGGATGAGGCGACAGCTATTTCTACACATTGCACAGACTCTTAGTAATTGGTCTCCTTATTTCATGGAAAGGTGTGATGCATTTGGAAAGGTGGGCTTTTCACCCTTGCACAAATGCATTGTTGCTATGCGGATGTTAGCATATGGCACACCTACTGATATGTGGGATGAAAATCTAAGGATTGCTGAAAGCACAACTATTGAGTGCATGAATAACTTTTGTCGAGGTGTCATTGAGTGCTTTGGTCCTACATACTTGAGAAAACCAACTAGAGAAGATATCCAACGTTTATTGCATATAGGCGAAGCTCGAGGTTTTCCAGGCATGCTGGGAAGTGTAGATTGCATGCATTGGCAATGGAGAAACTGTCCAGTGGCATGGAAGGGTCAGTATACCCGTGGAGATCAGCATGGACCTACTGTCATGTTGGAGGCTGTTGCCTCACACGACCTTTGGATATGGCATGTTTTTTTTGGTGTAGCTGGGTCAAACAATGACATCAATGTCCTCAATCGATCACCTTTGTTCACTGAAGTAGTACAAGGAAGGGCTCCTGAAGTTCATTTCACGGTCAATGGCAATGAATACAACATGGGATACTACCTTGCGGATGGTATTTATCCAGAGTGGGCAACTTTTGTGAAGACAATTCATTTGCCTCAATGTAACAAGGACGCACTGTTTGCACAAAAACAAGAGGGAGCAAGAAAAGATGTGGAACGTGCTTTTGGTGTTTTGCAAGCTCGTTTTGCCATTCCGCGAAGCCCAGCATGTATGTGGCAAGTGCGATTAATGGCTGAAATCATGTATGCATGCATTATACTGCATAACATGGTTGTGCAGGATGAAAGGGATTCTTACAAAGTTCGCTATGATGAAGACTATGACAATCAGTATGACCAGGGCAGCTCACCCACACCACTGGCAGGATATGGACATGGCCCAATTCATGGATTTTCCAGGGCTCTAGAGGTAGAAGAAGATATTAGAAATAAAGATATACACCGTCGTCTGAAGGCGGACTTAGTTGAGCATATATATCAGCGTTTTGGAGGGGGTCAACCTTGAAGGTCAATTTGTAGTAGTTTAAATGTACCAGGTTACTTGTATAATTTTTATGTAATCTGAACCTACTTGATGTATTGGTGTATCCATTAATATATGCATGTCTCCGAAAATTTAGCACACATAGGAATTTAGCAGACCATTTTCACTGTTCATGTTCACTGAGAATGTTTTCCTTTCAGAGTTCAGATGAGTTCACTGAGAAGGAAGCACCCAAGCAGCTGGAGTTGGCAGGTAGGCGAGGCTCACCCCGTTCTTCTCGCAGTAGTCGATGTCGGTCCAACAACGCTCGTCGAGGACCTCGCCGGAGGGCCACCCGGGGCTGGGCACCATGGGCGAGATGGACAAGGTGACCACCACCCGCCACACTCCGCCAGCGTCCTTGGCCGCCCGCACCACGTTCCGCGTCCCTTCCACCGCCGGCACCATCAGCTGATTCTGCAACAGCGAGCGGAGCAGGGTCGCCATGGGTGTGTGGCCGGACGGGCACGCGGCAACGGGCCGCGTCGGCGCCCTTGCTCGCCTCTGCTGCCTTGTCCTCTGCATCCCAACTCACGGTTGCCTTCTCCCATCCGCCCCGCCTCCTCTTGTGCCCCACCTCCTACCGACGACGCCAGATCCGAGCAAAGGAACACCTAGAGACGCAAGATCTACGAAGGGGAGACTTTAATTGGGGAGCATGCAAATTGATTTGGGGGATTTTGCGTCCACTTTGCTGCTTCAGGAGGAACGGGAGGAGTGGGGATTTTTCCAGAGCGCGACTGAAACGGATTGTGGGGGAAGATGATGAATATTTTATTGAAGTTGTAGGTTCCATGTACGAAGTAGTACCTATTCTATTTTTTTTACACACTACAACTCTCCTTGCCTGATGCTTAATTTGCTGTAGCTGGATCCACATTTTTTCTGGCCTCACTACCACGTTGTGGACGGCCTAATCGTACTCGTCGTTTCGTACGTGCTGACTTGGATGTCCCTTTTCTTTCCATCGTTTCCCTCTTCGTTCGGGACGAGGCCTCGCCGTCGCGATGACGCAGTCGCGCATCGCTTTTCTTTCCTTCTCACGCCTTTGCCCAATTGCCCTTGACCCCTCGCCCCTTCCAAGCGGCTCACGACCTCCATATATAAATAGTCGCCACCGCCGGCAACCAACACCATCACAGCACTACACCGATCCACAGCTGCTTCACCGCTCACGGCCTTCTTCATTCCGACGGAGCACGCTAGGCATCTAATAAGCTAAGCTAGCAATATGTGTGGCGGTGTGATCCTTGCCGAGCTCATACCGAGCGCGACGGCCGGCGGCAAGGGCCGGAAGCGGGTCCCCGCCGCGGCGGCCAAGGACGACGACTTCGAGGCCGCCTTCCGGGAGTTCGACGAGGACTCCGACGAAGAGGTCGTGCTGGTGACGGAGCGCAAGGCGTTCGCGTTCGGCGCCGCTGCCGGGGCCCGGCGCAGCAGGCGGCCGAGCCAGTACCACGGCGTCCGGCGCCGTCCGTGGGGCAAGTGGGCGGCCGAGGTCCGCGACCCCGTCAAGGGCGTCCGCGTCTGGCTCGGCACCTTCGCCACCGCCGAGGCCGCCGCGCGCGCCTATGACGACGCGGCGCGCGACCTCCGCGGCGCCGGCGCCAAGCTCAACTTCCCGACGTCGTCCTCCGCCACGGCGCGCACCAGCGAGCGCCGCGCCGCCAAGGCGGCGCCGTACGTCAACCTCGTCGACGGAGACGATGTTCCTGACGCGGCGCACGCGCCGTCGGTCAAGTGCGAGGCGGAGACCAGCGACAGTGTCTCCGACGCCAGCGGCTGCAGCACCCTGCCGGACTTCTCGTGGCAGGGCATGTCCGCGACCGACGACGGCGCGACGTGGCCTGCTGCTGGCTTCCACGTCGAGCTCGGCGGCGGACCCCAGGAACCCGAGGAGGAGGAAATGGCGCCTCCACCGGCGGCGTCCGAGGAATCCGCCGACATGCTGTTGGACGCTTTCATGTTCGGCGACCAGTTCAGCTTCTTCAACGGCGGCGCGTACGAGTCTCTGGACGGCCTGTTCGGCGGCGACGCGTCGCTGTCGCTGGGCAACGAGGGCGTGGGGCTCTGGAGCTTCGACGACACCGTGTGCTATTAGGCTTAAGCTTTCCTTCATTCATCTCCCCTGTTTTCCCGGAGAAGTGCTCGCTTCATCGTCCTGCACTGTTGCTCGTGTACTGTACAAATGCTGTCGTCGCTATGAATCCTTGTGGGTTTGTAATCACATGTTGCATCATTGAGGTTTTCAAGTCTTCGTCTTCAGTGACCACGTGTTTAACTGATTATAAGACGACCTGCTAACATCTGAACTGAACGTTACAATCTGCTTCTTGATCGCTCCTCTATTTGTTGTTACTTTCTTCATCATACAATATATTAAGTTAAAAAAATTTATTAAAGTTGGATAAATTTTACTTAGGTCCCGTTTGGATCCCTTCATTTTGAAGGAATTGAAATCTACTTAATGGAGTATGCTATTTACCTTGGAACGTGGCATTCCACAACTTTCCAAAGTTTAGATATAAGCCTATCTTAAATTTATGAATGTGGGAGATAAAAATTGATTCTATAGATACTCATGCTATCTTTCTAGCATGCTCTTCGACTCGCTTCTCTATAGCAGAAGTGCAGCACATAAGTAACTCTATCATATGGCCAACAATAATATACAAATATATTTTACATACAACTATATTAGCTTAATTAATTTATGTCTAAATTATGATATTAGAATGAAATTTAATTCCAAAGATTCAAACGGGGCCAGGGAGAAAATTAAAACAAACTTAAAACAGAGAGAGTAACGTTTATCTCTGAAGATTACGCGAGACCTTACCATAGCGTTCAACCGGATAGGTGGTGTACTAGAGGATGCTGCTCTGCGACCTTTTAGCCTGACCGTAGGAAGGAAATCAATCTTGCATGTGTTTGCACGGCAATCGGCACCAGACCCAGCCCAAGTGCGGATTTGGGTTGAAGCAACCAACCGGTCGTGTGGTAACGCCTGACACATCCCAACCTGGCAGTGGTAGCTGAAACATCGCGTGGTGCAGAGCAGAGGAGAGGGGAGGACGAGGGAGCAGGAAACATCGTGGACGTGTGGTGGTGGTGAAGAAGAAGAAGAAGAAGGGTGCTGTATCGCTGGCGGCTCTCCTCCTCCTCGTCCTCTCTGGTGTCTCTGTTGCATCATCCGTGCGCCGCCGCCGCAGGTGCTACCGCATCAACAAAGACGGCATCAAAGTACCAGCAGGCTACGGCAGCAAATACGAAACCTATGTCGTGTCCCTCCGGAAGCCCCCCAACGCCGACGCCATGGACGACGGTGCGTGGCGTCGCTGGTACGAGTCGTTCCTGCCAACAAGCACCGACTTCATGGACGATGATGGGTGGCATCACTTGCACAAGTCGTTCCTCACCGACTCCATGGACGACGAGCCACGTTTCTTCAACTGCTACATGGGTCACGACGACACTTGCTTCCTCCTCGTAGGGCTGACCGGGGTCGAGCCCTTGGTGGTGGCCAACAAGCCAGGAGTCCTGAGCAAGTGAGCATGTCCACCATGGTCGAAATTTACTGATGCAAGTCCATCTAGTTCATTCCAGGCAAAAATAAATTACTGTGATTTCCTTCTTATATAATCTGAGTTTAGTTGCCATGAAAAATTCGCAGTTTCTTTTTTTCGCGCTTCCATTCCTACGATACATGCATGCCGCAGATTTGTACATAGTTTTAATTTCTTCTTTACGGAAAAAAGGGAGCTAATGTAGTATATCGGTGATACTCTTCGTACCTTCCAGCGAGATGCATCACGCACGCACGTACACAAAAGAAAGAAAAAACAAAGAATGTTAGCACAATTACATAACCACCTCATAGTACGCTACTAGAAAATGGACCTTTCGTCCTGAGACTCAATACCGGTTGCATTTTGGCCCGGTACTAATGTGAGCATGAGTACCGGCCCTATCGGATAGTCCACGAGGAGCCCCATGTGACCCCTCCACCCGGTACTAAAACTCCCCCGCCACCTTATCCTCCCGTCTCACCCGGCCCCCTCCTCTATCCTCCCATCTCTTCCTCTCCTCCTCACATCTCTCTCTCTATCTCTCTCCCGTCTCTTCCTCTTCCTCTTCCTCTCTTCCCTCACACTTCCTCTCCTCTGCCTCCCCTCCCCTCCCCACTCTGCTCGCCCTCACCGGCAGTGAGGAGCAGCAGCAGGGCGAGGTGAGGTGGCGGCGGGGCGGGGCGGGGCGGCGATGGCGGGCGAAGGGCGACGGGGCAGAGGCGGATGCAGGGCGGAGGGCGGTGACGACGGGGCGGGGTGGAGGGGCCGAGGCGGAGGCAGGGCGGGGCGGAGGGCGACGGAGCCGAGGCAGAGGTGGGGCGGCGGGCGGCGGAGGGGGCCGGCGGAGGGTGGGGGCGGGGCCGGGCAGATATTTTTGTTTTTTTAATTTTTTAATACCCTTTAGTACTGGTTATCTCAACCGGTACCAAAGCCCCCCTCCCCCCTTAGTACCGAACTAACAGTACCGGTTGTGAAACCAGTACTAAAGGGAGTTCCCAACCGCTACTAAACATGGATTCCCTAGTAGTGGTACTTAAGAAAAAAAAAAGCATGAGAAAACAACCTAGTAATGGAATAGAAAACATAACCAAAATACAAATGAATGTGATGCGTACTAGATTGAGTTGTACAACCAGCATTAATCTCAAAAGTCTAAACAAACCACAAATGTAACAAAGGAAGTAAATAGGCTCAGAGTGGAGCGAACGTGGTGGGAGGGGGAGGGGCGGCACAGCCCCCCTAAAAGAACTAAAAGAAGAGGTGGAGATGAAGGAGGAAGAAGATAATCCTGCCTCCGCCACTGGCTCAGAGCACCAGGGAGCATAAGGCTAACTAAAGGATAAATCAACGCCGTGGTGATAATTGCGGGCGGCTCACGGTGCTTTGCCCAGCACCTGGACTTGAATTTCGACGGGGGAGAAGAGCAAGTTGGGCAGCTCGGACGGTGGCGCCGGTGTCCCTGGCTCCGGGATCATCAACCTCACCGCCGGTGGGATGAGCTCGGGGCGGTAGGTCCAAGTCAGGTAGGCGAGCATGTTGGGAGGCTCGGGGCGGTAGCTCCGGGATCATCAATATCTCTGGCGGTGGGATGTGCTTGGGGCGGTAGGTCAAGCCCGGTGCCGAAACTCCACCACGTCGGCGCGGTTGGCCGTGTTGGCGTGGAGGCATTCAATCCAACGGGATGGAAGAGTACCGCCTCCGTCGTAGCAATCTCCCACACGTGCGCTAGTAGACCTGTGATGGAGATCTCCACGTAGTGGACTCGTGAGCCGGAAAGGACGCGTTCAACGTCCGCCTTCGAGGGCAACACCACCATGCACCCGCTCGGGAACGATCCGATCCATCACCGACACAGCTCGCTTGTATTGTTTGGGTTCAATTATTGTATTCACTCACGCCTCCATGCATCTATCGTGCGTTTTCTTAAGCCCGTGCGTGGTTAATTAACTACATCTCGATCTATCCTCATGCATCATCTGGCATTGTTAGTGCTATACACGTACGACAGCTGCGTTTTGTACCTAGAACCAGAAGTTGAAAGGCAGGAGCTGCGCGCGTTTTCTAGACCGGTTCATCATCTGCGAGTCGGTGCGGCTAAAAATCAACAGGACATCCTCCATACATTGCTGAGCAGTAACACGTCAGGAATCGTGCTGATGGATCCAAAGGTTATGAGCATTAATTGTTGCCTTGTTGGTGATGGGGTTCGGTGGCAGAACCAAATAATAAAGCTAGGATGGGCGACCGGAAGTGCCATGGAGCCATGGAGGCATGCAGGGAAAGGAGGCTGGAGGCTTGGAGCTAGCTAGAAATGCAAGCCATGGGGAATAGAGAGGTTGGTGACGACGAAAGGTGGAGGAGCGTATCCTTCCTAGCTTGTTTGTTTGTCTCACTGGCCGCTCGTTGTCATCGAAAGCAAGCAGATGCATATGTGTCCCACTGATGTGCCAGCTGATCGGTCAAGTCTGTTTTGTCCAGCAACATGGGCGCTCTCATCCGTCTTGGATGGTGACGGGATCGGATATGCTGGGGGGCGATGGACATGGCGCGGCCGGCCGGACGGATTTGCTGGCTGGCTGGACACAGACGATCCGTGCAGTGGAACGTATGGCATGCTGCACCAACTATACTTGTCCCGTTGGCCGAGCACCAACTATACGCTCGTGCACCTCAAGTGATTCGCGCACTGCTCGCTCATCTATAAAGGCAGCATATGCATATGCACATGCACATGTTCATTCACCTCTTCGGCTAGACCTCCATCTGGAAAAGTAGGCACTGGTTCACGCACGGTTAAATTCAGATCATGAAACGAAGCCGCAGCCGATCGAGCTATGTGATGATGCAGCCATCTGCGCTTCGATTCGATGTTAATCCCGGCCATCAACGGCAACCAACTTGAGCCAAGTGTACCGACGCGGTGCCCGTGTACCGCGAGCTGGCCCGGGAGTTTGCCGTGTTCGCGTCCAACCAGGCGTACACGCAGCCAACCGGCTAGCTATTCGTGGTCCGCAACGACGCCAAGCACAGCTCGTCCCCGGCTTGCTGCAGCGCACCATCTTCTATTCGGCGCACTGCTGGCTGGCTCGCTCGCTCATAGTCTACAAAGGGATCGGAGGCAGCACGGCCCCGCAGCAGGGTCATATCCGTCGTCATCGATCCATTTACATGGCGAGCCACCGCGCTCCCGCTTGCCCGCAGCATGCATCGCGCTGCTACTGCTCGCGCGGCGGCGATCACTCACGCGTCCACCACCACCATCGAGCTGGAAGAAAGGGAGGCGCACGTTGAGGCAGCCGACGCAGGAGGCTACAGGACGTACATTGTCTGCTCGAGCGACCAGGATGCGAGGGCTTGATAGATGCCGATGCTCACAGAGCATGGCACCAGTCCTTCACAGGGCTCGGCGGCGGCCCCTTGGATCTGCCATTGACCCATTGTCGATGACGATGTCCCACGGCAAGCCTCACTGTGGTGGTCGCACCGGACCATCTTCAGCGGTTTCGCGGCACGGCTGACGGAGGAGGAGGTATCCGGATCCTTTCCCAACGTAATATGCTACTAGCAGATGACGCGGACGCTGGCGTTCCAAGGCCTGCCGAACCGCATGGCCGGGGAGCCTCCCAATAACTGGCCCGACACTGGCGTTCGGAGGGGGTCGTGGATGGTGGCATCGACGACTTCTACCCGTGGCTGAAGGATGTCGGATTTGGGGGCATCGACCCGCCAGAGTGCTGGAAGAGCTCGTGCCATATGTTCATGCGATGCAACAGAAGCTGATTGGGGCCCGGCCAGAACATGTACGGGCAACAGAAAGCCGCAGCGTCCATGGACGTCAAAACCTTGGAGCCGAGCGACGATCGAGCAGAGCGATTGCGTGTGTAAAGACACAGACCGGGCGGGCGTTGGATCCTCTGGCTGGACACGTGCTACGTATCCAGAGCAGGGCTGCACGGGAGACAATTTGCAGCCCGGATGCACCATTTTTTTCCCCGACTAGCCTGGTTAGTCCTATAAAGCTATATATGACGATCCTCATTGAGCTGTGGGTTTCGTGAATCTTGCATCAGCAAGTTGTCACGCTATAATATAGCATATGACAAAGAGGCATCTTTACTTTGTCAGTGTAAAATATCGGTAGTATCAGTACGTAAGCATTTCACTTTTTCTCCTTGCTAAGGCAAGTGTAAATATTAGCTGATGTGCCCATTCTAATCCCTTATTAGCTGTTTGTTGATCTGTTTGCTCTACCTTAAAACTGTAAGTTGTTGGCGTGACGACTGAAGACAGTTGTTGTTATGTGACCGTGCTCAAGTAATCAACATGGGCTGGTGCAGTGGAACGAGCGAGATTAGGTCGCCGTTATGTTAAAAAAAAAGATTAGGTCGCCGTCGTCCTTTTGTAAGTTTATCATTGACGGCCAAGTGGGGAGGAACAAGGCCTTTGAACAAGTTGCTCTGGATGGTTGTCACTTGTCAGGCCTGAATGACGAGGAGGGATGAACCGGCAGCTGAAGGGACAGTCACCCAGATAGTTGCAGAACAAGTGGCATTAACTGACGAACGGAGCACAAGATGCTCCTCCAATTGCCGGAGCATGCATAGTAGGACGATTCTCCATTAATGCTAAACTGCTAATGTAATCAGCCCAAGCATCGACCAGAGTTCCCAAATGAAGCGTTGAACGAACTTACAGCACTTATCTGCTCCCTCCATTTCAAATTTCTGTTCACTTTAATTTTATCATAAATCAAACTTATCTAACTTTAACTAAATTTATAAAAAATATATCAATATCAACCGTAACAAATAAATGCGCAATTAAGACATATATTATAGTGGATTCAATCAAACTAATTCGATATTGTATATGTTGACTTTTTTTAATAAATTTGATCAAATTAGATAAGTTTGACTTAGAGTAAAATTAAAGTGAAAAAATAATTTCGGAAAAAAGCGAGCAGCATAGAATATTTTCTGAAAG